GCTTTTGACATTGAGGATGAAAGGAGACACATGATGCGCTGATCTTTCTGGCATGGGCAACCTCCAAAGCCCTCTGCAGCCTTGTCTCCTCCCCTAGGAATGTCTCTTGTGAAGGCTGAGGGGTGGTTTGGTGGGACCTGGGAGGCTGGAGGTGCGGGTGGAGAGAGCTGTGAGTTTGAAGGGCGTGCAGGGCCACCTCTGCCCAGCCCTCAGAGCCACCAGCACATCGTGCTTACAGCAGGCCCTGTCTGAAGGTGTGCACCTGCCCCTGAGCTTAGGGCACACAGCTGTCTGCTTTATTTTCATCCACATCCACAAGAGTTAGAGAGATACCAGAGGTAATGCACTGAAACACAAATTTTTTGCAGCCAGGAGGGCATTCACCTCTTTCCACCTGAAGCTCTCCATCTCTGGGTGGTTCTTCAGCATCAGCCATCACAAATTCCCTCCTCGACTTATTCCCATCCTTTTAACATCCTCTTTTTTTTTCTAGTATGAATTTCTTTCATTCCACTTTTTTGTTTCATTTTTTTCTGTTTCATTTTCATTGCTCTGTGAAAAGTTGCACATTAAGCTGTTCAGGGAATAATCCTCATTCTCCCAGAAGAGTTTTCCAGCTGGATCAACCAGCCAAATCAGTCTCCATTGTGCCCCACATTCAGCTGGAGCCACAGCAGCAGTGCTAGCAGGCAGGAACAAGTAGTCAGGGGATTGACTGTGTGTTGGGTAGCTTATAAAGTGCTGCCACTAAATGCAATCCCACAGCCCTGGGGAATTGATCTCATGGCAGCTCCTGGAAAAAGGATACTTGGCACGGTCCCAACCTTCTAAGCCGTTCCCAAGCACATCCAGCGCTCCTACAGATGAAGACTCCATCAGTTCAGTTGGCAGACAGGAGGCACAACTCCTCATTCATGGGCAAGTTATTTTTCCCTCAGCCTAAAAAGTTAAACTGTCTCCTGCTACAACCCCCTAGTGTGGCTTTGCCAGCACCTCTGTGCTCCCTGGGCACCCCCTGTGTCTCTCAGAACACAGTACAATGGTGTGGGCACTGAGCACAGCTCCCCCCTGGCTGCTCACTGAAAGGCCAGGCTGGTGATAAAGGCTTCCCCCAGCCCATCTGGTGCCATGTGATGTGGTTCACGTCCCTGCAGAGCACCTTGCCAGGTGGAGACTCAGCCAGGGCTTAGCACTTGGTGCCTGCTGTGGCAGGCTCTGGGATGGGTTGTGTGGTTCCCTGAGGGTCTCCAGCAGTGGAATGTTCACGTTTGTGCCGGCCTGAACCAGCAGCACTGGCTAAACTTCCTCACAGTAACTCGAGCTGAGAAGGTTTGTGCCCATAGCCAGGCATTTCTTCAGTGTTCTTATCGTGTGCCATTGGTGCAGTTTCACCACAGGCTTCCCACAGAGCTGCAGTGCTGCCAGCAGGCCCTGAGCCCGGATCTGCACTCTTGCTCTCAGGATCCTCAACTCCAAAGCAGCCAGACCTGCACCCATGGCATGTTATGCCAACACAGGCACCGTGGTCTCTGTTTGCAGTCAGCCTGGGGGCTCAAGGTGCGGGTGGGAGAGCCAGGCTGTGGCACTGCCATCCCCCCAACCCCAGCATGAGTCAGAGCCCACGCTTTAGGCCAAGAGTGAACTCCCCTTTGTGAAATGGGAGAGAGCAGCACTGCCAGCAGCAAGGAGCTGGTGTAGTGAGGGTAGGAATTTTATCCTGCCAAAGTCACATCCCTGCAGAGCCTTGCAGGGATTGCTGGGGCTGCTGTGCTCTGCCCACTCTGTTTGAGCAGGTGGGGGTCTCAAGAGAACCAGGGATGGTGGAGCTGGGGCAAGAGCAAAACAGCAAACTTAGTACCAAAAGCAGGAAAGAGGGTTGGGATTACATGGCAATGCCATGCTGATGCCTGGACACTCTGAAATGAGTAATGCCAGTCTGATTAGGGTTGCTAGACTTACCTAGCAGTTAGTAATTTCCCACTGTTTTTGCATGGCTGCTCCTAAGCAAAATACAACAGTCTTTCTACAGGTTTATGAAGTAGATTATTGCACTGGGTAACCAGGCATTTGACATGGTGGAGTAGGGTCAGTGACATGGCCTAAGAGCAAAGCAGGGCTTGGGATTGCATCCTGCAGCACAGCACTGTGCCATGAGCTGCTGAGAACAAGGTACAGGAATTCCCCTGGGCAAGAGCTGCTTCCAGGCAACAGGAACTGAAACAGAAGTCATCCCATGGGAAAGAAAAAGAGCAACACACCCAGATATGTGCCAGTGGGTGTGAGAACTAACATTCAATTCTGATTCCTCAAAATCATAAGCCCATAATAGTGGATGGAGGCCTGTCTTGAAAGAATCATGGTGTAGGGACAGTTTTTGGAGAAACAATGGCTAGACTGACTGATAAGGTTTATTAAAGTTCCAGATTTCTCAGACAAACTGAAGATCTTGCATCTTATCAATTCAGTATTTCATTAGGTTATTTTCTGGGCAGTAATAGGAAAAGTTGGGCCATTGCATAATAATCATTATCAAATGTTCTCAAGGAAATGTAAAAAAATCAATTGTAACTAGGGCATTAGTTCACAGATCTCTGGAGAACAAGGGAAGAGGGGAAATCAGTAACCCCAAACACTGCTCAGCCTGGCAATAGGGCCACCCCGGCTCTTTGCCAATGAGCATGAGTGCACTGGGTGAAGAGGAATGAAAAAAAATGTGTCTGACAGGGAGTCATGGTGAAACCTTCAAAGGTGTTATGGGAGGGACAGGTGTCTGCTGATTTTATTAACCTTTTTGGAGTTGAAAACTGAAAAAGATGTGACACCCATCACTCTTTTTCAGATAAGAGTGACAGAAAATCTTGGGTTTCTCCTCTCCCTCCTTGTTACTGTCAGCAGAAGCAGCCCAGACTCCCTCCTGAGCACTGCCTGGCTGTGTCCTGAGATAGATAAGGAGACCCATTTTGATATACCTTTCCTTGGCACACAGATGTGAAGCACTCACCTAGAACTTCCCAACAGTGTCAGCATCCTATTTGATACAGTGCCTGGTGCTATGCACAAATAATTTCAACTTCTCAGAGCTCTGGAATGTCTGCCCAAATGTATTCCGTTCACTCTCCAGCCCTTCCTGTGCTGCTAAGGATGTCTCCTCAGCAGTCTGCTGGGTTTTCTCACTACCTGATATCCTGCAGTTTAAACTATACCATACATTCACACAAAGTAGCTGAACACATATTTTCCTTGGGAAACACCAAGCAGAGTTATGGTGCCCAGTGCCACTGGGGAGATGAGCTTCAGGCAGCCACTCAGACTTTGCTGCTAACCCTGCAGAGCATTTGATAACCATTTCCATGGGAACAAGCACATAAGTTCAAGTCCTGCTCTGCTTGGTAGGTCAGAATTGGGCCACCTTTCTGACAGGTGGTTTGACAGTAAGGAGATTCTCAACACTCAGTTTGCAATGCTCACAGATGGCTGCACCAGCCTCGTTCTCCCAGGCACAAGTTCAGCAGCGTAACTGAGCACGAGCACTGTAATTTTGTTCACATTGCATGTTTGATAGACCACATCTGTTAGGACAGTACTTTATTTTCAGCTTCATTTAACAAGGTCAGGATACCTGCTTCCAAATAGAAGGTGAGGAAGAAACCTGTCAAACATCTAGGTTTTAAATTCAGGATAAAATTGGTCAAACTGATCATAGCAGCAGTAAGGCTCAAACACACAGTTTGGACTAAGCTAAGCTTAGCAGCAAAATGACTCTCACTTGAACATCCACATCTGGAGCATCTGAAGTTGCAGGTATCTATTTTATTGACACTGGTGCAGCAGCAGTGACAGAAAATGTTTGTGTTCATAAACAAATAGAAAATTGCTTCCTACCAGTGTAGCTCTAGCTACTGCAAATCCACAGCTGGAAAGATACTTTGTGGAAGTTCTGGTTATCCCAGAGGAAGCTCATTTTTCAGTTCTGAATACCACCTGGAAAGGAGAGGCTTTGTTCAGTCTACACACGTCCAGATGAGTCTTTTGATCCCTGAAATCATCCATCCCAATGCACCATCCAGGTAGGATGTGCAAGTGGAACCCAGGCCAAGGCAGTGGTGTCTGTAACCCTTAAGACCACTCATCCCCACACGTCATGCTGCTGGACTGATGGGTTCAAATGCAGAAACACATCTCTTGGTTTTCCTGAAGTGCTACCTTCATGTTGCAGTGCTTAAACAATCCCCACTCTCTGGGATAAGGAGGACACCAGTGTTTCCAAAAGTGAATGTAAAGCATGGAAGGGCTTAAAAGATTTAGGTATTAAGATGATTAATTTTTAGGCATCCCGGAGCAGAATCCAGAACTTGTGCCATGTGCTTATGATGAGTATCAGGTACCTCAAAAGAGGATCTAGACCTGCATCAGATTGCAGAGTGGCCCATAGTCAGCCTACTCAATCTGCCTATATCCAATAGGAGATACCTGAAATCTTGCCTCTGTCTGGGCTCCCAATTCAATTAGAGATTGAACATTCCCTCTATAAAGTCATCTCATGTCTAGAGACACGTGGAAGAACCTATAGTGAGCTTTCCTGTGTGTCCCCTGGTTCTTGGCAAGACACCCTGGCAAGCACTGAGGAGTGAAAGCCCTTTCCTGGTGCAGGGCTGAGGTGACTCAGTGAAAGCTGCAGACCAACCTCTGGCAGAACCAAAAGTGTCTGTTGAGTCCCAGGCCAGCTCCTTCAGGAGAAAGCATCTCTTCCAGAGTGAAAATGCCGTATGAGTAAGAGGATGCTGCAGAAAGCAGCCTGGAGCCAAGGTTCTCCATTTCCTGGATATGTGCTCTAGGCCCTAGTAGTTTCTCCAAGACATGCACTGGGATTTTATACCTCCAGCCACAAACTACACTAGACTAGTGCAGTCAAAAGATCACACTAGGAAAGGTAACTCCAGATCTTGTGCCATCCTTGAGTTGGAGATAGACAATTACCTGGGAAGTTCAGGTAATTGAGAGACACAGAGCTGCTGCTCTTTCCCCAGCCAGAGTGCTAATTCTGCCTAAGTCTCACAGAAGGGGTGTTTTAGGAATGTCCAGTTAGGTTGACTCACATAACTTAATGAAGCAGCTCCTTAAATCTGAAACTAATCTGATGAAATCAGCCACAAAGCAACGCCCAGCACCAGAGCCTGAAATGCCAGTCAGAGATCACAGTTCACAGAATGCCGTGAGCTGGAAGGGACCTTCAAAGATCATCTAGTCCAAAACACCTGACACGGACAGGCACATCTTTCACTAGACCAGGTTGCTCCATCCCACCTGAGCCTGAACATTTCCAGTGATGGGAATCCACAACTTCTCTGGGTAACCTGTGTCAGGGCCTCACCACTCTCTTCATGAAATATTTCTTCCTTATGTCCAACATAAACATACCCTGTTTCAGTTTAAAACCATCATCCCATGCCCTGCCACTAAAATCCCTCCTAAAAAGTCTTTCACTGTCTTTCTTATGAGTCCCCTTTATATGCTGAAAGGCCAGAGTAAGGTCTCCTCAGAGCTTTCTCTTCTCCAGGCTGAACAACCCCAGCCCTCTCAGCTTTTCTTCAAAAGTCCCTCCCTTCCAGAGCTGTCCATTTGAATGATGGCTGTACCCCCTGGCAAGGCACAAACCTGGGGCTCAACTTGCTTGAGCAAACAGCACAACTGCACACCTGCCTCCTGCTGTGAAGCCTTACCTTTGGAGCAGGGCCTTCTTGAGCCTTGGCTCTGAGCTTGTTTACTTGGCTCTCAGCAATCTCTACCCTTTCCTCAGCCTCATCTATCTTATGCTGTGCTTTTCTCAATTTGGAGAGATTAATATTGGCTTGTTCATCCTGAAATTGCAAAACAAAAAAGAAATTAAAAACCATCTGGCAACATGCTGGGGCACAGAGCCAACTTTTAAACTGACGTTACTATGAACTGGAAAATAGGTATTTGCTTCAGTTTAGTGACTCACAGCTTCCTCAGCTTGTCTTTTGTAGGATTTGATTTTCATCTGCAGTTTATCTACCAGATCTTGTAACCTCATCATGTTCTTCCTGTGTTCTTCATTCTGTGGAAAGAGAATATGCAATTACATGTCCTTGGGAGACAAAACATCAGGAGAATTGCTTTCTATTTTTACCCACCTGGAGGGTGAGCTCTTTGACATGCCGCTCATATTTGCAGATGTTTTTCGTAGCCTCTGCAGTTTGTTTATGTTCTTCTTCCAGCTCAGCTTCTAATTCTTGGATCTGGTGAATTAATCAACAATTACCTTAAGCAGGACTCACATAGGACTTGGAGAAGAAAGGTGTCCTGACTGGCATGTTCAGTGCTGGTACCCACCCTGGCCTCCAGCTTCTGGAGTTGCTTCTTGCCTCCCTTCAGAGCCAACTGCTCGGCCTCTTCCAGACGGTGCTGCAGGTCCTTCACTGTCTGCTCCAGGTTCCTCTTTGTCCTCTCCAGGTGGGCACTGGTGTCCTGCTCCTTCTTCAGCTCTTCTGCCATCATGGCCGCCTTGGGAGGAAGATGACACAAGAAACCAGAGGAATGTGAAGGAACAGTGCATGCTGTGCACCAGCAGAGCATTTACTCCTGTTTCCTGCTGACCATTCCTGCCACCACATTTCCTGCTTCATTTTTTGTCCATGACATGATAGTGGCAGAAACATGACAGGAAATAGTAGGAAAAAGGATGGGACAAGATTGTCTTGCTGCACACGCAGAGCTGGAATGACAGAAAGGGTAAATGCTCTGTCCCACTGTATGGTCACACTGCGACCTCCCCTGACAGCAGGTGTCACAGAATCACAGAATATTCCGAGTTGGAAGGGACCCACAAGGATCATCCAGTCCAACTCCTGGCCCTGCACAGACACCCCAACAATCCCACCCTGTCCCTGACAGTGTTGTCCAAAGCCTCCTGCAGCTCTGGCAGCCTTGGGGCTGTGCCCACTGCCCTGGGGAGCCTGTTCAGTGCCCAACCAGCCTGTGGGGGAAGAACCTTTTGCTGAGATCCACCCTGAGCCTGCCCTGACTCAGCTTCATGGATTGGGAAGAACAGGAACCAGAGGACCTGGGGGGTGGCTTTTTCCATTTTGACACACAATTACTTTGGAGGGAGCAACCAATTCTCTTCATCTCAGCAGGAATGTATCAGGTTCTTTAATTCCGAAGACAAAAGAAGCTACAGGTGAACCCTCCTGAAAACAAGAAACGGCACTGGGAGTTAAGAATTGCTGTCTGGATGTCCATAGGGAGGGTCAAGGAAAGTCCTTGGCCACCAAGCCAGGAGACATCTCCTGACACAGCAGTTTGGGATTTCCCAAAACAGAAAAGAGGTCCCCAGGGTAGGGACTCACTGATGTCTCAGGTGGGATTTAGCAGAGCAAACCTGGACTCATTTAAGGAAAATATTCCTCTAAATGCCAACAGAAATGAGGGAAGTGTCTGACTCCTCCTCCTGCACACAAGGCACAGCTGGAGCCCCAGCAGAGCCTGGGAACTCCTGTGCTCAGCACCTGGAGTGTGGTGGGTGCTGCTGTAGTGAGTGCCCTGCTATTGCCACAACAGAGGGAGGGTTACTGCCACCAGGCACAAAGTAGTTGAAAATAATCTATGCTATTTAAGACAAACTAGGATTTAGTTTGCTATCAAACGTTGGACTTCATAATAAAATGAAGATTTTGGTGAAACACTGAGTGACATCACTTACAAAAAATGTAAATTCAAAATCAAAAAATGTAAATGGCAGCAAAATATCTGAAAAAATGTGTATTGAAAAATGTGAGAATACAATAATGGCACTAGACATTTTACATATATGTGTGTGGATAATTCATTGTAATGTTCTATTTCTCTTTTATTCAAACAGAAGAGAAATTATTAAAACATAAGTTCAACATCAAAATGAGGAAGAACTTCTTTCTATGAAGAATAGAGAGCACTGGAACAGCTGCCCAGGGAGGGTGTGGAGTCTCCCTCTCTGGAGACATTCCAAACCCACATGGATGTGTTCCTGTGTCACCTGCTCCAGGTGACCCTGCCTTGGCATGGGGGTTGGACTGGATGATCTCCAGAGGTCCTTTCCAATTCTAATGATTCTATGACTTCATTCTTTTTTTTTTTTTCATGAGCAAGTAGAAAAGTTTTCTTTCCATTTTAATTCCAAATAAAGTGTTAAGATTTTGGTTGGCTCCTCTGCATCAGAAATGATTAACAGTTTGAGTTCCATGACATACCAGCCCTACGGCCTGGCTGAGCTTCATAGGCCTTGTATGGAAGGATTTAGCACCAATTTTGAATGGACATTTACAATTCTCATTTAAAAAGTTGTTAAATAGGATTTTGCAAAGACAACTATTCAAATACATTAGCCCCTGTAGTAGTCTCAATACTGCAGGATTTCTTTGTGGATTACATTTTCATGCAGCACTGAAGAAAGTTATTTGTTTACGACCAACTAAATGTGAGTTTAGTTCATAATTGAAGGCGACAGCCCCAATAACTCATCTCTCAGCAGGACATGGTCCCTGTTGTTCTAATCCTCTTCTGACAGGCAGCCTTTTCAACCACACCCACAGACTGGTTCTTGTACAACACGTGACAAGAGCATGTACGTTAACTCCCAGCAGCAATGCTTCTGGAAACCCTGAAAATTCAAAGGGCATCCTCACATCTATCATTGCCTTCTTTGCTCTTTCTTCAGCACTTTTTGATTCATTAGTAACATCCTCTATCTCTCTTTGGATTTGTGCCATATCAGTTTCAAGCTTCTTCTTTGTATTTGAAAGGCTGGTGTTCTGCAAAGGAGAAAGAGAAAGTGTCTGGTTTTGGTCTCTTACATAGAACACGGATTGCTATTCATTCTTACTCCATGAACCTCTGGATCCCAAAATATGTCAGTCTTAGCAAAGAAAACTACCTGGGTATGGAGGAGCTGCACACGTTCAGTGGCATCCAGGAGCTCCTGCTCAGCCAATTTCCTCGACCGCTCCGTCTGCTCCAGGGCTGCCCGTAGCTCCTCCACTTCAGCCTGCAGCAGGTTTGCTCTGCGCTCCACCATGGCCACCTGCTCCTTCAGGTCATCCTGGGTCCTGAGAGCATCGTCCAAGTGCAGCTGGGAATCCTAAATTTGAAGAGTCAGTTTTGTCCCAATGCACTTCTCGAATACTGTGCTTAAAAATAAATCAACCACAAGGCAAACAAAGACCTTGAGAACTCCCTGGATGCTGTGCAGGTGTTTCTGTGCCTCGGCAGCCACACGGTTGGCATGGCTGAGCTGGATCTCCATTTCATTCAGGTCTCCCTCCATCTTCTTCTTCAGCCTTGAAGATTCACTTCTGCTCCTCATCTCGGCATCCAGAACACCTTGCATTGTCTCCACAATCCTTTCGTGGTTCTTTTTTAACTGGGTGATCTCCTCATCCTTGTCAGCAATCTTTCTGTTGATTTCTGTCTTAATCTCAGTCAGTTCTTGGTTGACAGCAAGGATTTTGACCTCTTCATGCTCAAGAGCTGCCTTTAAAAGAAAAAGGATAAAAACGAAGATGAAGGTAACTTTTCAGAGAACATGATCAGTGACTTCACAGAAAATCCAAAACTTTGTGGCAATCAATACTGCACACAGGCAGTGCCAGGAAAGAGAACAATAAGCTGCTTAGCATGCTCTCTACTTTTTCCAGTAATATTTAAACTAACTCACCTCTGCCTCCTCCAGAGCTAATCGCAGCCCATTTTTTTCTACTTCAGCTTGCTTTTTGGCTTTCTCAAGGTCTCTGATTATTTTGCCATTTGCAGTAATTTGTTCTGTCAGATCAGCTACTTCCTCTGTGAGGGAAGAATGACATCAACCAGAGGAGCTGAACTCTATGCTCTGTGGCACCGTTCAGCACCTCTTTTGCATGCATAAATATGTATACACATACATACATGTGTACACAGTGGTATGTGTGTCTCTAAATATGTACAGATAAAAACAGACACAGCCAAGTCATGCAGGTCAAGTGAGGAATTGGTGTGGTTTCACAGCCCTCCTTACAGTCAGGACATTTGCTTTATTAGTTTTGTCACTTTACAAACTTTCTTGACAGCTTCTGGTGAGACACTGACACTCTCCATTGAGATGGAGAGCACAGTAATGACAGTCCTGCCAGTGCACCTCCTGCAGACATGAGTGTGCTCATAGAGGGCCTTGTTGTAGTAAGATTGTGAGCAGCTAATCACAGAATCCCAGAATGTGCTGAGCTGGAAGGGATCCACAAGGATCATCCAGTCCAACCCTCAGCCCTGCACAGGCCCATCCCCAAGAGTCACCCCCTGTGCCCCAGAGGATCATCCAAAGCCTCCTGCAGCTCTGGCAGCCTTGGGGCTGTGCCCACTGCCCTGGGGAGCCTGTTCAGTGCCAATGGGAAACTGGAGCCAAACACATACGCTTGAGAGTGTTGTTCTCCCGTCTGATTGTTTCAAGCTGATCTAAGGTTTCCTTGTAGGCATTTTTCACTTTGAAAAGTTCTGTGTTCAGCGAGCATGATTCTTTAGAGAGAGCTTCCCTCTCCAGCTGGCTTTCCTCGTACTTCCCCTTCCATTCTGCCATGACCTGAAAGACATCGAAGGATCATAGAATGGCTTGGGTTGGAAGAGACCTCAAAGATCATCTCGTTCCAACTCCCCTGCCATGGGCAGGGACATCTTCCCCTAGACCAGGTTGCTCAGAGCTTCATCCAAGCTGGCCTTCAACACTTCCAGGGACAGAGCAGCCACAGCTTCTCTAGGCAACCTGTGTTGCCTAGAGAAAGTTTCTCTAGGCAATCTCAGTGCCCTCACAGGGGCAATATTCCATCTAACCCTGCCCTCTGTCAGTTTGAAGCCACTGACCCTTGTCCTGTGACTCCAGCCCATTGTAAATGGTCTCTCTCCATCCTTCTTTTCAGCTCCCTTCCGGTACTGGAAAGCTCCAATTAGGTCACCCTGAAGCATTTTCTTCTCCAGGGTGAACAACCCCAATTCTCTCAGCCTTTCCTCATAGGAGAGACTATTATGCTTTATTTCCTGCTAGTACTGAAAATATTATTTTATCTGGGGCTACACTTGAAAGAGACTGTGCTCACTTATCACCTTATCAAAGTTCTGCTGTTTCCTGTCCAGAGCAGCTGCTGATGTGTTTGCTCTCTCTATGTCCAATGTCAGATCCCCCACGTCCCCCTGCAACTTCAAATTCATCTTCTCCAAGGAAGCACACTTGGAATTCACAGTCCCCGCCTGGTGTCCTGCTTTCTGGAGACGCTGAGCGAGTTTTTTCCTTAAGGAACATAAATAAAACATGAATAAGATTGAAAAAATCATTGCAGTATGTATGTCATTTTAATTAAGAGTATTGCAAACCCCAGTAAAATAATTCAGGCTGGGCTACTGAAAGTAGATCTATGGCCTGCACAACATTTGTAACATCAGGACAGCTCCTCACACTCTCCCCACGTACTTGGCCTCCTCGAGCTCCTCCGTGCGCTGAATCGCGTCCGTCTCGTATTTGGTTCTCCACTGGGCCACTTCGCTGTTGGCCTTGGACAGGGCGCGCTGCAGCTCCCCCTTGGCTTCCTGCTCCTCCTCATATTGTTCCCGCAGCAAGTCACAGTCGTGGCGAGCGGACTGCAGGGCGTGGGCCAGGGCGTTCTTGGCCTAAAATTACCCGTAATGTTATGTATTTGTGTTGGCTGTGACCAGCAAGAACCCCATGACACTGCACACCTCAGATATGGTCACTGTAGCTTGGGCAGAGGGCAAAGGGCTCTGTAAGTGTTCTGGCAGCTGCCTTCAGCTGCCACCAACTTTTCTAAGCTCTACCCCTGGAAAAGACCAAGAGTGATGCTTCCACCTTGGCATATGCTGTAACTTTTCCTCCCTGCAGCTACAGAAGCAAAAGAAATCACATGGACCATGCCTTTAAAATTTAAAAACTTAAATCACTTCTAGCATGTCAGTCATCTTTAGCAAAGAACTTAAACACAGTGTTCACTGTACATATCCTTCTCAAGAGTGATTTTATTGTGTTAGTCTGTGGGCAATACTTACAAACTTCCAAAAGTGTTTTTTAAGTGAACTGAGACCCTGATACATTTTGAGGCCTTGCATGTGCTCAGTAGCTCACACTACCTCAATCTCTTCCTCTAACTGCCTCCTGAGTTCCTCCATTTGCTGTGTAAGTGCCTGTTTGCTTCTCAACAGCTGCAGTGTCACAGTCTCTTTCTCTTTGAGTAGATGGTTTAGTTCACCTGTGACAAGAGAGGACAAGTTCTCAGTCCTGTGCAGATTAGGCATCCTGATTTTTTTTTTCCTAGAGACAGATTTGCTTTAGACAATTCACTGAATTGTTTCTTTTAAATCCCAGTTTTCATTTTGAAGCAGTAGGATTTTATGCTGTCACACTGGCTGAACTGACAAAAAGTGCTTTAGCAGCTTCCCATAATTGGTGATACAACTACTGTGATACAAAAAGGAAACTCCAAAGTTTCACTTCACAATATTTACAATAACTGGAAAACATATATTCCATATCACCCTCTGTCCTGTGGGCTGAAGCACATCTGTCTTATTTCTTGGAGAGATGGCTATAGGTCATGCCATTATCTCTAGAATTCTTGGAACTTCTTTTAGCCTTCCAATATTGTCTTTTTTCAGATTTTTCCTGACCCATTTTACATTTTTTCTCAAGTTTTCAGTTTTGTTCTAAGATTCCCCTTGAGCTCTATGCTCAATGACCTTACAACAAACTGGTTATAGAATCACAGAAATCATCTTGCAAGCACGACCACTTCCAAAGGATCACTCAGAAGAAAATAAGAACGGGTTTGGTTATGGTCTATGTGTTCCCACATGACATCTAGAAGGGCTGTACATTCCCTTTTCCCTGAGAAGGAAAGGAGATCACGTCTGATATTTATTGGAACACCTTTTCTCAATGAAGTTTCTACAGTTCTTGGTCTCAAGCTGTTACTGTTAGTGCTGGGCAACTCTGAGCACATCCACGTGTTCCTGCACGGCTCACTCACACACACACTCGCCCATCTCTTCCCTAGTAGGGGCAGCACCTGAAGGCCACTCCCAGTTCTTGGCTCAGCAGAGGATCTTACTGAGGGACCAGTCAGAAAGACTCTTGGGCTCCTGTTTTCATCAGATGGGATTTGAGATGTCTGATCCTGTAGTCAACCAGACCAAGGAGTGCTCACACTCATCACTCACACAGTTCCAAGGAGCCTGTTTGGGTGCATCAACAAGCTCCACGATGGGAGCACAGAAGAGATGCTGCACACACAGCAAACGTGCACTCCAGGCAGTTCTAACAGGTTGCTCAAATAATTTTGGAATGTCCCAAATTCACAGTTTCCCTGCATGAAATAAGTGAGCTATGTCACATCATTCTGGGAATTATTTACCTAAGTAAATAATGCTTGCAACTGGCATATGAACTTTAAAGTGTCACTCATGAACTCATTTCCTTTGATTTATTACTAATGTTACCTGAGCCTGTACCGATGAACAATTAGGTCTCACTCATGGCACACACTAGAGAATCTCTTCACTACTGAAGGGAAAAAATATCTTCTCAGCACATATTTGTGCCTTCCTTACCAGACTCTGCCTGGAGCTGGGCTTTCTGTATCACCATGTCATTCAAATTCCTCTGGTTCTCCTCAAATTTGGCTTTCATCTCACTCATCTGGTCTTCCAGGGTCCGGTACCGTTTTTCCAGATTAGCCTGAAAGAGCGTAAGAAAGTGAAATCTGTGTAGGTGTGTTTGTGTGGCATTACATTCCCACCAGACAGAAACATTGGCAATTCAAGTATTTAACTTATAAAGAAACACCTTGGACTTAGTGATGGTCTCTGTGCTCCTAGCCAGGTCATCAATCTCCATCTTGAGCTCACTCTTCTCCTTCTCCAGCTTCTGCTTGACGCGTTGCAGGTTGTCGATCTGCTCCCCGAGCTCAGCTGTGCTGTCCGCGTGCTTCTTGCGCAGGGCGGCAGCCGTGGCTTCGTGCTGCAGCGTGGCCTCTTCGAGGTCGCGGCGCATCTTCTGGAATTCTGCCTCCCGCTTCTTGTTGAGTTCTGTTTGAGCAGCGGTGGCTCCTCCTGCCTCTTCAAGGCTCCCTCTGATTTGCTCAAGTTCCTGAGCCAGCTCACCACGATGCTTCTCTGCTTTCACCCGTGTCGCTTTCTCACTCCTGGTCTCCTCCTCCAGCTCTGCAACGTGGGCCTGGATAATGAGGGAATAGCACATCAGGAATTAAATAGGGAACAGGTAATTCAGTGCTGAGGTTAATGTGTATTTGTCACAGGAGAACACCAAGCCCATTATTTTGGAGACTGTGAGCAAAACAAACTCCCTTCAAATTCCACTGTTTTGGCAATGTAGGCAAAGAGTTACTGACAGGAAAGGACCTATGGATCCACTCGTGGTAACTTTAGATCACAGCTCTGTCTTGTTGTATGGGGTTTACATGGACAGGTTTTGGTAGTGGTGGGATGCCAGGGTGGCTTCTGTGAGAAGCTGCTTCCCCCATGTCTGAGGGAGCCAATGCCAAACCATGGACAAGCATTGTTCATGGTACTGCAGGTTAAACAAGCAAACAGTAATGACAAAAGAGTTACATAAAGTATCTTGCCTGCAATTCTCTGATCTTCTTCTGCAATTGAGTACCTGAATTCTGCTGTTCCATAATTTTATTTTGCTTCTGGTTAAAATCCAAGTCTTTCCTGTGAAGGAAATGTTCTATTAATAAAAAGAAAATATGTCCAGTTAAAACCAAATAGTAAACTTGTCACATCATTTTTCCTCGTACTTCCTTAATTTTTCATCTAAATGTTGTTTATAATTCTCCAGATCCACTATGGTTTCCTGTGCAAGTTTCAAGTCTCCCTCAAGCTTTCTCTTTGCTCGTTCAAGATCCACACACACTTTTCTTTCCAGTTCTAAAGATCCTTCAACCTGTAACAGAAGCATATATAAACATAACTGATGGAACAACTGAAGAGCCTGCCCCTTCCCATTGTGTAGAACATGCTCACATGGTTCACTTGCTGCTCCAGCTTGATCCTGGCTTTGGTGAGGTTATGAACTTTGTCCTCCTCACTTTGAAGGTCATCCAGAGCCTGTTGCTGGGCTTCTTGCAGGGCCTTCTTCTCCTTGACTAACTTTGCAACAGTCTCATCCAAACCTGTCACTACTTCAGTCAGATTTTTCACCTATTGTAAGGCAAAACACTTGAAGATCACTAATACTTTTGGCCTTTATATAATCAATGAACACAGGCAATGAACTCATTGCAAGACTGACAAAGAGACTTATTTACTTGCATTATATGGTCAAACTGTACAATCTCTCTGCTTATATATCAGCCCTTCAGAAACCACAAAGCAATGTTGAACTTTGATTTTAATGCATTTTTGTATGATTATGGGTTGGTTTTCCTGCACAACAGTTGTGACCAAATTCAACACCAGGCCCAAAGATCTCCTTACACTTGAACTCGTGTTAGTGTTCTAGCTCCTGTTAGAACCTTTACAGCCTATACACAGACAGAGCAACTGTTATTAAAGATGCAAATAACAGAAATAAAAAGCACCTTGTTTTCTGTGGTATGCTTTTCCTTTTCAGCCTTGAACAATGTTAACTCAAGGTCATCAATATCTTTCTTCAGCTCAGAGCATTCCTCCTCCAGTTTCCTCTTTCTGGCTGCCAGATCAGCATTTATCTCCTCTGCGTCCTCCAGCTTTTCCATGACCTCCTTTATTCTGGCTTCCAGTTGGAATTTTGCTTTGATCAGCTGGTCACATCTTTCTTCAGCATCAGCCAAATTTTCATTTTCCTTTTACAGAAAACAGAAATGTGTTTCATTGTCACACATTGGCACTGACACTTGCAGAATTCACCTGCTCATTAAGCGACTGGAACACGAAATAACAGAATTTGCTCCCAGCCCTTTCCTGAACACTCAGACAAAACTGATGTAATCTGAAGAGCCAAAAATGGTTTAAATTACGTACAGTCTGTGCTTGCAGCTGCAGATCCTTTTTCTCTTGCACCAGAATCACCATTTTCTCTTCCAGTTCTTTCCTCTTGTTTTCTGATTTAGCCAGTTCTTCTTTTATTCTCTCAAACTCTTCTTTCATTGTGGCCATTTCTTTTTCAGTTTCCACACTTATTAAGAGAGGTTTTAACTTGAAGTACAGCTTCATCCAGGGCCACTGCTTGACTTTCATGAATGCACGGATGTTGTACTGGATGCAGAAGATGGACTCTCTGAAACCAAAGTGCTCCATCAGTGCTGTGAATAAAGCCCATCTCGGAGCAACCAGACCCACAGAGGACACACACCTGTGGTCGAACATTCTTCTCAGGTCAAGTCTCCTGAGGTATCCCCTGCACAAAGCCTGGGTCCGTGTGATCAGCTGTCCTAAGCATTCATCTCGCATCTCTTCCAGGACACCCAGTAAACCTGCCTTGAAGAACACCTGCAGCCAAGGAACATTGTTGGGTTTACATTTCAATGCAATGAATGATTTCTCATTGCATGGCAAAATTAAAAATTTACCTTAGTGTGTCCAAACTTGTATTGAGTGTGATCTATCTCAATGGAAGACAGCAGCTTTTCACATGCCTTCTTGCTGTCAATAAACTTTCCCTCTGGAATGACTCTGGTGTTCAGAAGGCGGTATCTGACAAAATAAAGGAAAAAACCTTACCCATCAGTATCATTTTAATGCACAGGATGCCACAAGAACAGCTGTCAGTTTGAAGTTACAGAGGAAGGCTGAGTCTGACTCACACCTCTAGCCTCAAATAGCAAAGCAGTAAGAAAAGCAGCAAATAGCAGCAGGTCAGTTCAGTAGGATCCAAGGATGTGTTACACCCCTCGCTGAGACTGAGGGCTTGGGTGGTCTTTTCTCTGGACCTGAGAGACTCTGCTCACGTGTGTCACAGTCATTATCACTATTCTAGGGGGACAGCTCACTGGGTTAGCTGTAAATTCAAAGAATGAATGGATTTTAGGAATAGGGGAACCGCTGCAGTTAATCTGACTTCCTGTATAACCCATACATAGTGCTCCCAGATCCTTGTTCATTCAACCCTCTTGTGACTGGGTTAGTATGCATTAGAAAAAAAAAAAATTCTATCTTATCTGAAGCCTTCAAACCTTGGGAGAGTCCCAGGTAAACTATTCACCCTCACTGTAGGAAAGGTAATATTTCACTTCTACCTTGACAACATCCTCTTTCAGGTCATGCCTTTGGACTCTATAAGTTTTTCTTTTAGCAAACAGCTTCCTGCTTTACATCCTCTTTACATCTCTAGGTACTCTACACCACAAACAAATCATCTGTTAACATTCAATTTCATGAGTTAAACAGAATCCCAGAACGGTTTGGGTCGGAAAGAACCTTAAAAATCATCCCATTCTACCCCCTGCCATGGGCAGGGACACCTCCCACTACCCAAGGTTGCTCCAATCTGGCCTTGAACCCTTCCAGGGATGGGGCAACCACAGCTTCTCTGGGCAGCCTGTGCCAGGGCCTGACCAGCATAGTTTGATTTAAATCTCTCCCTGCACTTAACTTCACATTTTCTCTGTAGCTCTTTTCTGAACCATATCCATCTTCTCCTGTTCCTCCCGAAGCATGGAACCCAGAATTAGACATATAACATCCAGCAATGGACTTCCTAATCTTACACTGAAAGATTACTCCATCCCTATTGTTTTCACAAATCTGCCCACCAATATCAGCCCCCTGGGCATTGTTAGTGCCCCAAATACCAGTTCAGCCCTTCTCAGTGTCCTGCTCTCCAGCACAACCCTGCCCAGAGCTGTAAGGGGGGGATGATTTCTTTGTTCTTAGAGATCTGACCCTACATTTGCCTTTGTTCAAACACAACAAACAGACAACCCCAGCTGAGTTGCCCTGAATTTAGCAACCGTTTATAAATGTCTTATTTGCACAGCAGTTCCCAAGTTAAGATTGTTTGCTTGTGGGGTTTTTATCTCTAAATTAATGTGCTAATGCTGTAGAAATGTCAGCACATAGAAATGATTGAGTACAAAATAAGAGGGCCATGTGGAACTAGCTCAGATGTCCTGCTCAAGTCCCTTTTGTTGCTACAGCCCTATTTGCCAGTCAAATTGGCAATTTGGCATTTGGCAGTAGGCATTTCATCAAAAAGTGGTATTGGTTTTAACACAATTTCCTCTCAGTCAAACCACTCTAGTAAGAGTTAATTAAACTACATTCTTCAAACCTCTACTAGATAGTGGTTAAATACAGGATGTGCATAGACCACCCTCTGTATTTTTGCTGAAACATGCTTGAGTCAAATTTGAGAATTAAAGCAAAGATTCAGATGAGCATGAATGAACTCGAAAACAGGTTTTGGTGTACAGTATTCAGGAAGGTGTGTGGGTGGGCACTGCCCACACAGACCATGCTATTAGATGTGTCTTCACGCTTTCCATAGTTGCTAAATATCAAAGTAGTTCTTTTCAACTATATCTTTTCAACTGTATCATTGACTGGTTTAGCAAAATCCTTCTCTCAAATGAATTGGGCTTGATGCAAACACAAGAATGCAATTACAGACCTTTGTTTAAAATCCCCATATGGAATCCTGTTAGGAAATCCTTTCCTGCAGATCCGAATGCCTTCCAGGACACCGTTACACCGCAGCTGGTGCAGAACGAGCTTGTGATCCATGAGGCCTGGGACAGAGCACCGTGGGGATGTGTTAACAGGGTCAGCATTGGCCAGCTCCTCTTTCTGCCCCTTTCTAATCTGTGTTTTATGCATTACCTGGGGTCTTTGTTTCATTGGGGATGATGCAACGCACAAAGTGAGGATGAGTTGTTCTCAAGTTGGACATCAGCTTGTTTAGATTTTCCTGTAAAACAGCGATCATTTGCAATCTCTATATTACTTCAGTTCTCAGTGTGATTTGACTCTGAGGAAAATAAAAATTCAGAAGTTCTTCCTTACTCCTCTAGTGAATATTCTACAATTCTGTGTAGGCATCAGCAAAGTAAATGGCTACTAACAGTGGATACAATTGGAGAACTTTCCTCCTGTCTTAAAATGAAAATGTGTCCATCAGTGGTTCAAGGCTGATCATAAGAGCTCTTAAAAAGGACCAGGATGGAAAAAAAGGAACTATATTCTGGAATACTCTCTATATATATATATATATGGTCTTTTTTTGATCAAAAGAAATATTGATCAAATAAATGAATGGGTTAATTACTTGCTTTTATTACTTAAATATGTTAGTTATATTTATTTAAAATATAATTGAGCTACAAAATCAGTGTTTGTCTATGACATCAAAAGTCACCTGTTTTGCAGGGTAGTGCAATTCTTTAATCATCTCATGCAAGAGCGACACACTCTGAGTGTGGCCCATGTCCCAGCCAGGGGATGATGCACTCCTCATCCTGCCAGGAAGGGACCAGTCTGCTCCTGGCCTCAGGTGCAGATGCATCACAGCAGCATCAGAGCTGCAACACGTAACTTGGGTTGCCCACACTTTCTGCAAGGCACTGACTGCCACACAGTGCTCTCACACATGCTGGAAGAAGCCAGGGACAGCCAAAGAAGGGCAGGATGTTGGTAGGACCAAAGGGCAAAGCCAAGACAGCTGCCCATGCTGGCAAAGCACATGACCTCCCTTCTCCACCACCATGCCACTGGACCTCAGCAGCAAAGCAGAACTCAACCTTTGCCATATCCCAAAGGCAACTTGCCACAGAGTGGCCACAGAGAAAGTGGGCTGGTGATCCTGTGCAGCCAGGGGTGACAGCACTGCCCTCCCAGCAGGGAACACACCTACCCGAAAGAGCACAGACACAGTCTGGAAGGAAGAGCCCTTTTTCTTGGTTCCTTTCGTCTTTCCACCACCTTCAGCTGGAAAATGAGATGACAGTCCAGCTGCAGATCCCTTTGACAGTGCTATAATTGTGTGTCTAATACACAGCACTTGAGCACTGGTTCAACAGTGACTCAGGTCAGATGACAGGTACAGTAGGAACAAGCATAATCCTCGGATCTCACCTTCATCTATGGAAGCAAAGGCAGCATAAAGATGGCATAAAACCTTCACAGATGATTTCTGGTACAGCCCAATGACAGTTTCATTCAGGGGGTCCTTGTTCTTCTCCAGCCACCCAGAGATGTTGTAGTCCACTGTGCCAGCGTAGTGCACCAGGGAGAAGTGGGCCTCAGCCTTGCCTTTGCCAGGCTTGGGCTTCTGGAAGTTGCTGGACTTGCCCAGGTGCTGGTCATAGAGCTTGTTCTTGAAAGAGGTGTCAGTTGCCTTGGGGAACATGCACTCCTCTTCCAGGATGGAGAAGATGCCCATGGGCTGAATAGAAAAAGGGTGTTTTCAAATAAGACTAATTCAAGTTGTAATAATACAGAGTGAAAGAAATGCTAAAATTAAAGTACTGGAGGTATTTTACAGAGAATTAGCTTGGGAGGAGCGGGCAAGCAAGATTTGTTGTGAACAGCTTGCAAGATATTCAAAAGCGCTCAAAAGATTTTCATAAATAATTTTGAACTACACAAACAGTGTCTGGAAAACAAAAGAAGCCAAGCAAAAACTGTGCACTAACTTCTTAGAATACAGTAGTGACTTCTCCTTATCCAGAAGGAACAAAAGGCAAGCAGACATCAGGCTTTGAATGAGGGAGGGAGAAAGGGAGGGAGGGAGGTGGGAAGGTAGGAAGGAAGAAAGGAGGGAAGGAGGGAAGGGTGTGCAGTGTCTTTTTAGAAGACAGAATACATTTGCAGTCAGTAGATAATTAATCACAAAGGTGATGTTTAAAGGAACAGAGGAGGTGAGGAGACCTGAAAGCTTCACAGGGAGACTGTATTGAAGGCACTCAGTGCAAACACTCTCAAGAATCCCTTCCAGATCCAATTTGTGTGAGTGCCAAAGATGCTTAAGAAACTCACCTTTTCTATAAGCTCAATGCAGGCAGCCAGGTCCATCCCAAAGTCAATGAATGTCCATTCAATTCCCTCCTTCTTGTACTCCTCCTGCTCCAGCACGAACATGTGGTGGTTGAAGAACTGTTGCAGTTTCTCATTGGTGAAGTTGATGCACAGCTGCTCAAAGCTGTTGAACTAATATTTGAGTAGGTGTGTTAGTAATATTAAACTGCCTCCAATCAATTTATTTCACAGAGATGTCATAGCAAAGTCAGCCAGGCTGTCTCAGAAGGGTTTTGATAACAACATAAACAATATACCATGAGTGTCCAGGCTTACAGACAAGTTGTGCTGTGCAGCATAGTTGCTGTAGCCTGCACTGGTCGTGTTTTTGGGTGGCCCTAATGTCACTAAATGCAGATTCTGTGGGGAGGGGGACAGCAGATTCATGGCTATGCTTCTGCCACGTCTCTTCTCTTACAAAGTGGGTGACGGATCTACAAAGGCAGAAGCAGCTTCAGAGAGATTTGCCCTGTTCTTGAGGGCTGCATCGGGGTGAGGAGGAGGAAAGGTCATAGAAGTCAAACAAAATGAAAAAGAATTTAAAGTCAACCAGAAGTCTGAGAGTGCTGTGTAAAATCAAACCTCAAAGATCTCAAATCCAGCGATGTCTAAGACCCCAATAAAGTGGTGCCTTGGCAGCTTCGTGTCCAGCTGTTGGTTGATGCGCATCACCATCCACAGGAAGAGTTTCTCATAGACTGACTTGGCAATGGCATTCACTGCCTGGTGCACCTGCAGGGAGATGGTTCACACACCTCTGCCAGGGCACAGCCTCACCAGAATAAACCCCTCTCAGTGTGCCCCAGGTACACAGCCCACACTGTGCACTAACAGCCCTTAATGCTCCTGACCATCTCAGCTGTGACCTGCACTCATTCCTTCCCTTAGGCAGATGGGCCCTGCTGCTCCTTGACACTCACCTGATCCACTGTTTGGCCCTTCAAGACATATTCATTTCCCACTTTCACCCGGGGATAGCACAAAGCTTTCAGCAAGTCTGCTGAGTTCAGGCCCATCAGATATGCTGCTTTATCAGCCTCTGGAAAACAAAATCATAAGCTGAAATACTGAAATACCTACAGAGTGCACTGGAACCAGCCAGAGTTCACTCTGAAACCTGCAACCTGGGTGGCTTTAGCTCATCCACAGTGTTTGACTGACATTTTCATTTACTCTTCTTACTTGTAGAGCTGTTCCTTGTGATGGAGTGGCTACAGCAGCCCCAGTTGATGTGGTGAAACCTGGGAGGGCATTGGTAATGGGGCAAGAGTGGTTTTCCCTTCAAGCCACTTCTCCACAAGGTCGCCCAAGCAGAACAAGTCTGGATGTGTGACCAGAAACTGGTGAACACTACAGTAATAATATGTCCTAGGCACAAGGTTCTTCAGTAGAGTCATCAGGAATAAAGTGGATGCAGAAAGTGACCCTACTGGAGCTGGTAAGCTGAAAGCCAAACATTTTTTTTTGTGGTCAACATGGAACAACTGCATCTCTCCTGGAAAAATCCTGCCATTTCTAAAAAAAAATGGTATGGAAACCAGTTGGAAATAAATAGTTCTTTCCCAACCATGAAGGTATTACCTTCAGTGCCATCAGGCTCTGCTTGCTCCTCACGTGGTTTCTGCTTGAACTTCATGTTCCCGTAGTGCAGGATTGCCCCTGTCAGCTTGTAAATCCCCGTTCTCTCATCGGGGCTGAAGCCCAAAATACCAATGGCTGCCTGCACACCAGATAGATCAGCTGGTTACAGCAGTGGTGAGAGTAAGAGTGAGACTGTCTCTCCTCATTAACTGTACCCACATCTGTGGCAACAAGCTCCTCCTGGTCATCAATGCTGGCCACAGAGATCTGCCCTTGGCTGATGAAGGGGTAGTCGTATGGGTTGGCTGTGATGAGAAGCATCTCTGAAAGGCAAACACAGGAGTGAGAGCCAGAGCTTAGCAAGTAAGATGGAACAATGGCTCAGCAAGATTTCGCAAGCTCTCCTTCCTTTTGCATCCAAACTCTTGGTTTTCCATTAAGAGACAAGAAAGACAGAGGAAAACCATTCATCTGCCTTCCACTGGATAAGCAGTCCTTCCAGTTTAACATGTTGTGAACGGGGAGCTGAGCACTGGCAGACATGGAACAAGGGCCAGCCACACAAACACCTTTTAGGAAAGATGCTTTTAGGTAAGACTCGTACATAGCACATAGTGGGGCTGTGTGCTGGGCATGAGTAACACACACATGTGCTCATCTCCCTCTGACTGAGGACAAACTTCCCACATCATTTTCAATCCTGAATGCTATGGCAGAGCAAGAGGGAAGGGAAGGTGTGCAGCTGTGCAGGGCTCTGTGCAGGAGGGGGAGCCTCAATACACTGAGGGTAAATCTGTCTGTGTCCTTGCACAGACCTGAAGTCCCTGGTACATTAGTCTCCCTAGGAAGGGAAGGGCAAGGTTGTACATGGTGGGAGGGCACAGAATGGGAGGATGGGAGCAGGAGCTCTGCCTTGGGAAATGTTCTGTGGATATTTGGGAGGGATGGGAGGAGTGGATTGAGAGTGAGTTCAGTAGCAAAACGGTTTGGGACAGATGTGGGGCATGGGTAGGGAATGCCATGGCAGTGGGAAGAGGGAAAAGGTCAGAGGGACTGTACTGGAAACAGGGAATAACTTTTGCCCATATGATGAAGAATTCAGATAATGGTAAATGTAGATCACAGTATCTGGCCATCCTGCACCCAGAATTGCTCACAGGATCTGGCCCATCTAAGTTGGAATTTCTCCAGCAACATGAACAGCAAGGTGCAAGGCAGAGCACATTGGCCACCTCTCTACCTCACCTGCACACAGTTTGCATTAGAACTTACCCAGGGAGAATAAATGGGAGGTGGAGTAACCCTGAGTGTGTCCCTGTCACACGGAGACACCAGTGCCGTGCACAGCAGGGCCTGGCCAGCACCGTGATGGCAGGGATGTAAATAAGCACATGACCCTGCTCTGCACAGCCTGAGGCACTGCCAGAGGGGAACCTGGGGGTGTGTGACAGATGGCACCAGGTGCCACTGGACCCTCCATCACTGAGCTGGCATGTCGAGGGAAATGTTTCCCACAGTGACTTTACTTAATGTCACCAGGTGATGGCTGTCCTTACCAAGCAGTTCAGGCTTCTTATTGGAGAGGATCTGGTAGAAGATATGGTAGCTTCTCTCAGCTTTCAGCTGGAAAGTGACTCTCGACTTTTCCAGCAGGTCTGTAATATGTATGCATAGAAATTTTTCAGACTCTTTGCCTTCCAGCAGAGCAGTCATCCCCCCTCAGTCACTCACAGGTCTCAATGTCACCGGAGGCCAGTTTTCCAGTGGTTCCAAAATGGATACGAATGAATTTACCCTAGCAAGCAGACAAAACGTAGTGGTCAGTGCAGCAATCTCTGTTTTTCTCCCTTGAGTCTCACTAACAGCGTCTCCAAATCAGTCTGAATTAGCTTAGATATCCAAATCTAGATAAAGGGAAACAGTTTGCTCCAGCCCATACAGCTGTGAGCATGAAATAGCTGCAAACACATCTTCATCTCACAACCAACCAAGAAAATTGGTCAACAAGAACATTTTTCCCAGGCCAGGGGCTATCAGTTGCAACTAACAAGCAGGTAAAGAGCATTAAAAATGCAGGAGGGCAGAGACAGACACAGGATGACTCACAAAGCGTGAGGAGTTGTCATTTCTCACAGTCTTGGCATTCCCAAAGGCCTCCAGCAGTGGGTTGGCACTGAGGATTTGATCCTTGAGTGTACCCTGTCGGAATAATTGAATAATTATTGAAAAACACTGTGAGCTTTATGGCAGGAAGAAGTGACTCTATGGCATGATTACATGTGCAGCCACGTGCCCTTCATTTCAGCTGTGAGGTGCTACTGCAGCACCTTCTCGACTCAGCGCCACGAACCAGCACTGGGGGTAAATGGTGAATGAGCCATTTGCCTCTTGTTAGAATTTGTCTCATTGTCAGAGTTCTCAGGTCTCAGCCACAGGGACAGACTGATCCATGTGAGAAAACCTCTGATTCTTCCCGGACACCAATCACACAGACCTGGTTTCAGTCCAGGTACAGCTACACCTGCGCAGTGCCACTGGCAGCTCCTGGCTTGTATTTGTTGTGGTCGTATCTGCACATCAGCCCCTGGCCCTGCTGCCCCAGAGAGAGTGACTGAAGCTAATAAAAGATATCTTGAGGGAAATGGTTGTCACCAGCGCTGTCTGCAGCCACAAGTGGACATTCTGGACTGCCCCTGGCCAACCCCTCCTCCTCACACCTTCATCCCAGACTCCTTCCTCACGGGTGGGTCCCCGCTGGCTGCAATGGTTGCGTAGTACTGGATGACACGCTTTGTGTTCACAGTCTTCCCAGCCCCGGATTCTCCGCTGTTGAAAGAAAGCACAGAGTGAAGAAAAATCCAGCCCCTTACTGCTGGACACAAAGCCCAGAGTGACAGATGCACTTACGTGATCAGGATAGACTGGTTTTCACGATCTGTCAAAGGGAAAAACACCTGCAGTCAGAGAAGCTGTAGGGAAAAGTGCTGGTTCTCAGGCAACTGTGACCCGGTGCCCATCCGAGGGAATGAAACAAAGTCTCTGCAGGCAAAACTGAAAAGGTGCATGGTCTTCTCTTCTCCTCTCTTCCCCTCCCTATACTCCACTATTTGTCTTCTCTCCTCCACCTTTGCTCCATCTTGCAGTCTTTCTTGCTTTTGTCTTTACAATTTTTTAACTTTATTGATATTTAATATGGGACAGGACTTTATTCAAACTAAACCCATGTATTTTGGTGAAAATATTTCTACCATCTCTGTTCTGAATCTACCTGCTGTTGCTTGCAGCCATGTTCAGGTGTGCTGACTAGGGACTTCCCAGGTACCGTGTCCTATCCAACTGCAATTGCCCTTTGCAGAGGTCCCTGTTATGGTCCTTAGCTTGGTATTTAGACCAGGAATGCAGATAAATGGGCAGCACAATAGCAGATGCTTCAAAAATAAAGAAAATATTTCAGGAGACAGGGAAAGCTGTCTGGAGCAGGTTTTGCATCATCCACAGTTAAAATAGTTTCACAGTAGCTAGGAAACTAAGCAGATAATCTACACTCCACCCAGACCAAGGAGCTGGGGTAGCACCCTGCAGAGGTGACCGAGCCCATGGCAGGAGTGGAATGGCACTTGGCAGAACTGCATTTCTGACATATTCTGATCAAAATAGCAAAACTCACCAGTCAGCATGAACTGATAGGCGTTGTCAGAGATGGAGAAGATGTGTGGAGGGGCCTCCTGGCGCTTCTTGCCTCGGTAGGCCAACACCACCTCCGGGTTGTACACGGGCAGCCACTTGTAGGGGTTGACAGTGACGCAGAAGAGACCCGAGTAGGTCTGCCAGGAAAAAATGGAACAGAGTGAACACTGAAGTCCAGCTCCTGTGGCTGTGTTTTCTCCTTTGGCAGAAGAGGGAACTTACATAGATCATCCAGGAGCTGTAGCGGTCCTTGAGGTTGTAGAGCACGGCAGGTTCATGCAGGTGGGTCAGCATGGCCACATCCTCCACTCTGTCAAACTTGGGTGGGTTCATGGCATACACATCATCAGGTTTGACAGCAACTGTCTATAATTCAGAAAGAAAGAGTGAACCTTGATTCAGCAACTCTCAGCAGTCCTTTCTTAAGTACATACTGAGACACAGAGAAGTAAGAACATCTGTAAGTCTGCTCTAATTCATATTTTTCTTTCTGTTTAACTGTGCAAAACAGGATATGGCTATTTCAGGACAAACACTGCTGCCAGCCAGGAGCTCTACAATACTGGCAAACCGACACAATGTACATTTACTGTCCTGGAACTGCCACAAGCACAAAGACAGCATTTCTGCTGGGCCAGATCTTTCTACACATTATTGCTGCTTATGAACTTCAGGTCTTCAGCACAAGATTCATCAACAGCAAATCCTTCTTTGGGACAGACTTGCTCCACTCCTGCCTGTGACCACTCCTAATTAAAGAATAGCTCTATCTCTTCCAAACAGCAACTCCTGCCGGGCTCACACTGTGGGTGACCACCTGACCACCCCCTCACACAGCCAGAGCCTGCGGAGATTGGGAGAGGCAGCAGATGTACGGGAAAGCAGATGTTCACAGCTGGTAGCAGCTCATCTCAACCACTCTGAACCATGAAAGAGCTTGAAAATCCTGCTGTAATTTATTCAGCTGATTTATCCCACTGTTTTTATCCATTGCTGAAATTGTTGCTCCCATGGACTGGTCCAAGCTGACTAGTCCAGGGCAGGGAAGAAATAGTGTGGAATCGTATTCGATTCAGAAAGTCAGAACACTACTTCCTACCTCAAGTCCTGACTAGGGAATGGTCTTTGGACTCCTTTGAGAAAGCAAGAATTACAGGCTCAGTTTACAAAAGCAGTTTTGTGATATGTATCCCTAAATACCTTTCTAAAGCATTCAAACACCTGAGCAATTAGGACTCACAGGAAGTCTCCATATAGAACAAGAGATTGTGCATTAACTGCTCCTCACAGCACATACCTGGGGGTCACTACTAACACAAGGGCAGCTCAGTGCTCAGGAGAGGGCAGGAAGCTCTAAAATATTAGGAATAGTTAGAAAAGAAAGGGAGAAAAGAAGGGAGTGTTATGTAGGATGTGCCCATCAGTTCATTCACACCTTCATTACTGATCACACCTCTGAGAAGGGATAGAATTGTACTATAAATGCTCCAGAGAAGAGAAACAAAGATGGTCACAGATACGAAATGGTTTTTCTATGAGGAGAGTACAACTTGAGAGTTTGGGGGTGAAAAGGAGAGAACCATGGCCACAGCAAGGAAGAATTATTCTCCTCTACTCCTTGCGAAAGGAAAGGTAAGGTTGCAAATAGCAGAGAAAAGGAAGGACTTTACACTTACTCCAGTTTTAAACTGTGGAAATCTTTCCCACAGGCCACTACAGAGGCAAAAAGCCCAAATGGACATAAAATAGTCAGGCCCTAGAAAAGCAGGATCTTGTGCATCTCAGCCTGGTGCAGCCTCAGTCACTTCCCTGAGACTGCTGTGGATCACTGCTCACCCTTTACTTGCTTTCTAAAACTCTTGTAGCACCTACTGCCAAGATGTTGGTCGAGGTGGTTCTTTGAGCCTCTGCAGTTATTGTTACAAAAGTTGTCAGGACATGAGCTGCTATGACATTTCAGCATTTTTGGAAGAGTAACACCTTGGAGGTTCCTCTGGGAAACTGCAGCCAGGAACACTGACAATTTCTCATGCAAAGGGGACTTTCAGATTATCTGTCTGCTCTGCTACCAGTAAAGGAAAGAATTTATCAATGGCTATGACAGCTAAGAAAGTTTTAAAGGCAGCGGTTGAGGAACGCCAAGACTGGCAAGGCAATAACCCAGCCTGGTTTGGAACACTGCCTGCTCTTTAAAGCCCACACCAAGAATAATTATCCAGTGAATAACTATCCCAGCATCCAGAGCTGTGCTTTCCTCTGGAGGCTGTGCTGGTCCCAGTTGGAGGGCAGAGCAAGGCAGATTTCTTGCAGATTTCTTGCCTGAGCTACTCTAGTTCTTCCCACGTTGCTTGCCCTCCCCAGCAGATGCCCTGGGTCCTTCAGCAGGGCCAGGAGAAATTCACTTACTCTGCCATCCTCTGTCTCCACAGTTATCTTCCCATCCTGTGCAGCCTTGATCTTCCCTTTGGTGTACTCCACCTCGGGGTCAGCCACAAAGCAGTAGGTCTTGGCATCAAATGGCTGGTTCTGGGCTTCTATTCTCTCCTTCTCTGACTTGCGCAGGTACGGCGCCGCCTCCCCGAAAACCTCCATGGCAGGGTCTGCTCACGGCTGCAGCTAAAAGATACACCCTGTGCTGGTCCCCTGGGCACTCCTCAGAGCACAGAGAACATCCACAGCTCTTCCCAGCTGTCTGCTCCAAGCTCACCCCTCCCAGCCTTCATCTGCTGCAGGTCTTGAGGGAGATGTTTGCCTTTCGAAGCTGGAATGTACCAAGGTAGTGAAAAGGAGCTGCCACCTTTTATGGCCCCAGGGAAAGGAAATCCATGCCCAGAGGAGCAGGATGTCTCCCAGTGGAAGTGTGGCAAAGGGGACGGATCTCTAAAGGATTAACATAGTTCTTAGAAAAAGTGAAGCCCTGAAGACCATTTTTCTCCTAGTTTTTCATCTATGACTTCCCCACTCCTTATTAACATGGAGCCTGTCCTAGTCCCCTGGTGGGCAGCCACAGTGGGCAGGAATGGACACGAGCAGCTTATGCAGGAGGAAGAACAGGGACCTGTCCACGGTGAGCACAAGGCAAAAATCAGCTCATGCCAGCCTGGGCAAGATATTAGTTTTCATACCTTAAATTCTCACCTTAACAATCAGTCAACAGAAAGCAGGAAGGAACGGGCTGACATCTCAGATCTCTGCAAGAGAAAGAGTGGAAGGTCAGGCTTCACCAAAGCTGCAGCCTCTCCAAAGGCCCGACACCCTCACTTACTGCAAGCACCCACACCTGCTGAGACCAGCCCTTCCCTGCCCCAGGAACGGCCCAGCAGGGAATCCACAGCAGAATTCCCACTGCAAGCACTACAGCCTCGTGAAGCTCCAAGCACAGGGAACAGGACCTGTGTCAGGAGCCCTCTGCCACTCTGCAGGTCAGTCACAGCATGACCACAGGCATGGCCAGGACATCAGGAGCCATCAAGGGCTTTCTCCCCGACTGCTTTTATAGGCTCAGCCTGGTGCTCTTGGTTCAGCCCCTTCCCTATATTTGGGAGGAAGGGATCAACACTCCTGCCTGCCCACAGTTCATGTTCGTGTTCTGCCATATACAGTGTGTAAGGAAAGGAGCTGCTCTTTTTCCAGTTTTGGTAACTCTGGGACCCATCTGTGGTTTGCAGACCCTTTGTTGTGAGAATTTCCTCTCCTGGGCACATGTTCTCCTGCCAGCTGTGACCATGGCCAGCACTTCGTTCCACTCTCACCCACATGTCAACAAAATTACAGTGCAGAAGGGACCTGCCTCCCTGCTCCTGCTCACAGGATGCCTGGGCAGAGCTGCACAGTGGTCAGGGAACCCAAAGCAGCCCTGTGTGGGGTGGAGAGCAAGGTCATGGAAAGGAAAAAAGGTGATAGGATCAGTTATGGCAACTCTTGTGGCTTCCCATCACTGGAGGGCTCAGGGAGGAATGGACAAGAGGCTGTGACTGACGTATGATGTGACAAACCGTGGCAAAATAGACACTAATCAGAAAGAACAACACCCAAATCTAGCCAGGGGTGGACAGTTCATGAATGCCAAACCATGAATATGGTACAGAAATGTACCTCCAAATACAATTTTGGCTGCCCAGGATATTCACTGCCCTTGCTGCCAAAAGGAGCTGCAGAAGCCTCATCACATTGTTCTAGGAGGGTTCTTACACGTGGATGATTGCAATTCCCATGTGAGAAGGATATGGGTAAGAGGACACAGTAGCCACAAAACCACTGAGCACTGCCCCCTTTGCCAGCCTGCTAGGACAGTAACAGCTCTGCTCAGTCCTGAGCACTGGTGACCCAGAGCAGCACTTTCACCTGAATCCCTGGGGCTACAAGCTTGGCTGTGCCTGGGGAAGGCACAGCTGTGTCTAGGACAAACAGGCTGAGCAAGGACACACTGCCCTTCTGCAACTCTGCCTGGGGCAGTTCAGGCAGTAAGGCCTGGCCACAGACTCAGTCATCCCTCTCCCTTCCCCAGAGCAAGGCTGTGCCACAGGCTCCTCAGACCACGCTGCCAAAACACCCTCAAATCCACTTCAGCCAACGTGGGTGCCCTGAAAAGCACAGGAAAACAGTGAGGAAAAGGGAGAAAAATACACCTGCAGCAAAATTCCCCAATCCTGCAGGAGAGGCTGGGGGACAGGCAGGACCTGGAGCTGAGCTCTCCCATCTGAGGGCAGCACAGCCAGGCTGCTGCTGGGGTACTGCCCTCTTGGCCTAAAAACCTGTGATCCCAGGTGCACATTTCCAGTGAGATCAAGCCTTCACCGACTTTAGCAAAACCAGCAAAGTTGACTCAAAAACTCTTGAAAAGCAGGTATGAGTTCCCTGGGGACACAGTGGGCTTTGAAGGGAGCTCTCCCAGTCCCAAACACGGTTTGGCTGGTACAGAGCAGCCAGGTGATGACTGGCAGGAGCAGTGGGAGCTTCATGCACAGATAGAGCTCCTGGTGCAGGGGAGGAAGGATCTCTGTTCTGGTCATCTTCTGTCACTGCTCTGTAAGCCCCATTTTCTCTCTGCTCTGCATGGATGCTCATCCGAGGCTACAGCACCAGTTTTCCCTCAGCACAATGAAGCCTACAGGACTTGTGTGAAGCCAGAAGCCCACTGTAAATAGCTCCTGCCACCTCCCAAAGCACCACTCTGAGTTGGAGCACCCTGGGACACCTGCAGCTGCTGCTGCAGCACAGGGGCCATCACTTGTCTTTAGGCCACAGTGGCTGACCCTCCTTGTGTTTGCCCAACAAGAACTGACCTTGTGGGTTTGCAGCAGAGTCAGTCACCAGCATTTTGAAAAACATGTTCCATGTTGCCCGTAATTTCATTTAAGGTCATTAAAAATGGACACCACAGCCACATATCTCATGAACTATGAATTCCTAGAATCCCCCTAAGCCTGCAGGATGAGGGAAAAGCTTTTTTTAGCCCTCATCCCTTGTCATCAGCCCTTTGAACTCAGCACAGGGGATGTACTGAGAGCAAAAACTGAGACGCACCAGACCAATGAGCAGCTGGGGACTTTTTCCTGATAGTGAATTGCCAGTGTGAATCACCAGCGTTTTGAAAAACATTTTCCACGTTGCCCGTAATTTCATTAAAGGTCATTAAAAATGGACACCACAGCCATATATCTCATGAACTATGAATTCCCTGCACCGACACCATCCTAGTCTGTCTCTAACTCAGGGCCATCCACTATATCCAAAAGCTGCAGTATCACTTCATGTTCTCCCCAGCCTAGCAAGGGTTAGTAGCTGAAAAAAATACACATTAATTACTTTCAGATCTCTAATTCTGATCCATGACCTACACAACCAGCTACCACAGCATTGCTATTCCACACCTGCTGTTGGAAAGGCCCCACTTTGCATTACAACAGCCACACTCTGATTTTACGCTGTTCCCCATCATGATATGAAAACATCTGTCAAGATAGTAGTTGATGTAAAATCTTAACAGAAGGTAGCCTGGAGCAAGGGCTGAGATACAAAACCATGCCTGTTGTGCTGCAAAGCAGGGATGTCGAGACTCGGGGAGTGTGGGTAAATCTGCACACCTCAATTATTGATTTTTTTTTTCCTTGGTGTTAAGGACATGCATTAGATTTTCCTGTCTCAAGAAATAAGTGTACAAACCTTTCTATGTCTGGACTTGCCTCTGCTTCAGAGCCCCTGAATGACTGACAAGCTGTATGATTTGGGATGACAGCTTCGTGCAATTGAAAATCAGAGTCCCATGACAGATACAAAACTTATGTCTCCCTTATAAATGACAGTGGGAGTGGAATGAGTGGGACACTGCAGGTGTTTCAAGCCAATCAAGAAAGTTCCAAAATTTCAGCAAGCTGAAGAAAGATTACTGTTGTTATTGTGTGTGTTTGGAGTTTTCCAGAGAGCAACTACTTTAGAAACTCTGTATTTCCCTCTGGTAGGGTAGCTGGCCTTCCCACTCTGCAGGGGAGATCATAAAGGAATGAGTTGTCTCTTCTACAGGGAAGAGGCTGGATCAGGCTCAAAGCAGGCTGTGACACTTGGGTTCCAGCTTCTGAGCACAGGATTTCAGGAGGTCATCCAGTCCCCAAGGACTTGACATGAAGCTCCTTGTGCTGTGTCACCCAGAGGGACAAATCACAAACTCTTCTGAAAAAGGGGGGATCTGCTTAGCCTGAGCTGAGGGACTTTGCTAAGCACCCAAGTGGGGATGGGCCACCTTTCCACACTTTGGAGTGACTGGGCGGGCTCCAGTCACAGGAGACCCGAAATCAAACCTTTTATTAGCCTTGGGATTTTCAGCTGATGTCTCTCACCTCCGCAGAAGTGGAGGCAGATGTTAGGAGTCAGTGTCAGAAGCAGGGGCAGCAGAAGGAAACCTGGCTGCAGCCTGGAGGCTCCAGGGCTCAGCTGGAGGACACTGTGCTCCCAGTATAATGTCTGGTACTTGGTCCTGTTCCTGAAGATACTTCCTATCGCACTGCCAGAGCTGTAAAACATCTCAAGTGTTTCACCTAGTCCCCAGGACCATACAAGTCTCCTACCCACAAAGCCATGAGCTACAACAGGCCACACACAAGTGACATCTGTGCACTCGTGCAGGATCCTGCTCGCCCTCAGGAAAACCCAAAACTGGAATAGCACAGAGGTGATGGTTGTGGTGGGACCAGTTGGGTGCCAGCACCGTCCCTCCACCCCTGCGGGCACAGCCCAGCATGGGCAGCTCAGCGTACGCAGCACAGCAGGGATGTGTAGACCTTTCCAAAATCAACCTGCTCTTACTTGTCACTGAAAATTACTCCAGGTAAATGTCTAATTAAAGAGCTTGTAGCTGAATCTACTGGGGTTTTCTCAGAAATATAAATTACCTGGAGAGAAGCACTCTAAGGAAGCCCAAGGTGAGTGTCACAGTCCTTCTGCACTGCAGCTCTGCTTTACAGCTGCTCTTTCAAAAGTCTCTGGCACTAAAACCAACTGGAATGAAGCATAGAGATAATGTGCATTGAATTGCAGCTAAAGCTAAACCATCACTGCAGCTAAGTGTCTTCTGACACAAGGAATGGTGCTCCTTGCTACTTTCTTTCTAA